AATTTTTCTATCGAGAAAAAGTTCTTTCGCAATACATATCGTTATCGTTCTATCGCCCAGCTCTACTACACAGTTAGCTCGCTAGCTCATGTTTCATTGGCTTTTTTCTTTGACCTCTCCTTCTAACTTGATACAGAGAAAAGATGCAGGAGGAAAGAACTGAGGAAGCTAATAAACTTTAATGTGCAATTTTTGAGACTGTATTTATTAAGGAAAAATGTTGTACAAATATGTATTTTTAAAAATGGACAAATACTTTTCAGAACAATGTAATTTAAGCTAGCCTAGCTATTTCAAAATGTTTAAGAATATCTATCTATCTATCTATCTATCTATCTATCTATCTATCTATCTATCTATCTATCTATCTATCTATCTCTTATTTAAAATACTGATTTAAGAGTTGACCATTTCCTGACTTATTTTTCCTTTATGCTGCCTTCATGTTAAAAGTGAGTCATTGATACTTTTTAGCTTTAGCATAACCTTTACTATAGCAAAATGCTAAAAGCAGAAGGAGGACCTGGCTATCGCACACCTTTGCTTTTCCTTTTCATTATTAGCAAGCGAGCTGTAATACACAAATTATGTGTATTAAAGCCAATTTATTTAAGATGGACTTGATCTTTAATTTCAGTCACAGGTGGAATCTCACAGATAAAAACAAAAACAGTACATGTGAATGTCCTCTCTGATGTGTTACAGCGAGACAGATGACAGCAGCAGTATACCGATGCCTGAGAGGACAGAGGTCAGCCCCAGCGGCAGGAAACCCTCCATCCACCTCACCCTGCCTGACTTCCAGGACACCTCCACTGGTCTGTTCTCTCGCTTGCTCAAATCTTTTAGAAACGACATGTCACTGTGCATATTTGGATTGCAACATGCCGAATTGATTAGTTTAAGTTAAACACATCCTGCTCTCTCTATGGCTTTGGGTAAATAGCAGTGAGAAAGGTGAATTTGTAGGTCAGTCTAAATCCCCCAGCTTTTGACCTATTCTGGATTAAAAGCCCTGTTTGCTTGTCTGCAACCCAGTTCCGGAAACCAGATGTGCTGTTTAAATATCAATGATGTGACTCACACCTGTGTTTAGAGCAGGATCTGCAACCTGCACATTTAGTGTTCAGGGATTCAGGACATTATAGTTACTGGCTTTGAAATATTTTACTTTTTTTTTCTCTACGGAAGAAAACACAGTTTCTGTCTGCTTCTCATCAATGCTAACATATGCATATTCATTGTTCAGGTTGTAAATCACAACTTTAGTGTTTAGTTGGTTTAATGTGCAAGATGAGGAAACATTTGCAGCACTAACAGCTCCCATTTCTTACCTATGATCCTGCTTCAGGTTCACAGAGTCCTTCGTCAGTTGCACTATCCCGTCTTGAAGCGGCTCTGTCCGAGGTGTCAGACCTCAGCTCTACCCGTCGCCATGGGCCCACCTATATTTGGACCATCCTGGAACGCATTTGGCTGCAGGCTGGTATGAGAGCGCACACTTGAATGAAAATGGTATTTCAGAAATGATTGTGGTTGGGATCTTTTGGGATTTGAACCTCTTTTCATCCTCATCTGAGATACAAGGTCAGCCCATATCATGGAACCATGTTGGGGTCCATGTGCTTTAACTTACTGGTGAGCTAAAAATGAAATAAAGACGAAGCTTGCATTAACTTTGCTGGACAAATGAATCAGATTCAATGTTTTATCCTAGTGATCTGAAGCCCAACAGTAAGAAACCATTTTAGTCATCCAGTTTTTTTAAAATAAAAGCTATGAAGTAGACAACGAGGCCACAGCTCAGCAAAGCATGACAGTGTTTTCATGAGCAGCACCTGTCTGCTAAAACACCATGCTAACACGTTAGCTGATAGATTACCTTGTTCACACTGCTGGTTCAGTATACTGGCGAGTCCGAGCGTCCCGTGACGTAATTAGCATGATCCACGAACGCTTAAACAAAGGTGGATGTCGACGCAACAGTATACCTGCTGGTTGGTCTGTAGCTTTTCGTCAGACTCGGGGACCACGGCGTTGTTGGTGGTTTTGATTTTTGTAAAGGAGACGCTCTCATGGCTCACTGAGTGATTCCCTGACCAGCCAATTGTTGGCATGCAGTCTGATGATGTCACATTTTAGTACCTGCTCAGATCGCTTATAACCCCGGCCGAGCAGGTACTATTTTAGTATCTGGTACCAGGTACTGTTATCTAATGGAAAACCCTTAAACCGTAGTGAACCGTGCCGAGTCAATCCGAGTGGGTACTAATGGAAAAGGGGCTTTTAAGCAACATGAATGACTGAAGCAAATTACTGGTAAACTGTTTGATAGTTATTGAAAACCTAAAACTTACACTGTTGACTTCATGCTGAGGCAAATATTAGGGGACCTTCAAAGTAAGTAGTCTTCATCCTGTGGCAACCATAAAACATTCTGTGGTAGTCCTTTCAGTGAACTTCGACCAATGTCATAGATCTGCCTCGCTTTCTCTAGATTTTAGTTCCTTTATGCTACTATACACTGTAAAAGGAGCATTTGAGTTGTAGATGACATAATGTAGTGTTATAAATAATTGTCCATGATGCTCTGTTAATTTAGAGCAGCTTGTGGCATAAATCATACAGTGTGTGGCAGTCTAAGAAGTTATCTAAGCACTGTGCGTAGGTCTTTCTGGTGATGTCACACAGCAGTACCAGTACCTGATACCACAACAGGGCATACGTTTCAAAATAAAACAGGAAGTAACTGGAAAAGGCAACTGAGTTAACTCACTCAGACACATGATGCAAATGTGTCTTTACAGTAATTGCCTCAATAGCTAATGAAACATTCGACTATGTGTCAGTGATGCCCTCACCAAAGAAATCCAGGTAACCCTACAGTAAATACAAATACAATCTCCGCTGGCACCTTTTAATGAATGTGCGATGTTGCAGTGAATGAAAGCTGTGCAGCCTCGCTGTCTTCCAACGCCTTGCTGACCTGTTTATCAGCTCAGATGAGTTTCAGTCGCTCAAGGGAGTGAGACACTGTTTGTGCGTTCGGTTCATTGTGAGCGTGCGTTTTTGTTTCGGGCACAACAGTCAGTGAAATTCTCAGAGAATATTAATTTTGCTACATGCAAAACCCTGGAGAACGCAGCGTTACAGTATAGCAGATTTTTGGAAGAGAATATCTATTTGCAGGCTTGTTGGTGTTTAAAATGAAATAGCTGAATAGTTGACACTGACGTGTCTCAGTGCTTAAATACATTTGGCCACTGCTCTGTTAAGGAGACAATGCTCAGTTATCCATGTTGCTGTTGCCTCCACCCTTCTTCAGCCTGCCTGAGGAAGTTCACATAAAAGAGCAGAGCATGAGCAGGAAATGAAGGCCGAGGATCTGTTGCACTTGGATTGAATGGATGAGCCATGAGAGGCAAGAATGGAAATGCACACAGCGAAGATGCCTTTGCTGTATTCGATGCTTTACGACACAAGAGGGGTTGAATGGAGCCAAGCGGTCACGTCCCCCGTGGCTTTGTGTAATCTGAAGGTTATTTTCTATGTGTAACCTCTGAGCCTCTGCTATTCATCTGCTGAGAGCAGTGTGTGTGTGAGAGAAACCAAGGGTGTGGCCCCTGGCTCAAGGCTGGACACCAATCCCCCCCCCTTCATTCTTTCATTGCATTCCTCTTCTCATCGGTCACTTCCTCTTCTTATCTTACATTCTCTTTGGCCTAACAGAAAAACGCACACACACACACACACGGCTCTTTAAAAGGAATACATTTAGCAGTATGCGAGACTCACATACTTAGCTCTAAACATATAAATATTCTCTGTGCATGCAGGCACTGATCTAACAGTTTTTTCCTATGAGCAGCAGGAGAAAGTCTTACATAATCGCTCACTGAAACCTTTTTCCCCAAAATGAAGCCATGAAAAGGAACCCTGAGGCAGCTGAAAAGGGTTTTTGTTTTTTTTCTTCCATTTTTTTGTTTTCTCATCTCGCAGAGGTAGCATGCGTGCACTAAGTATTTCCCATCTGTGCATCTCTGAGACACAGGTAAACAAACAAAACATCCGCTACCAAACACACACATGGGTTCTCTGCACTCGGGAGCAGACGGCTCTCTCGATGTATTTGCACAACAGCCCTCTCTGTAACGTGGGCGCACAATGCTGTCAGTGTTTTAGAGCTGAAGGGTTTCCTTCTCAGGGTTTCTCTGCCTGTTGACCCAATGTCCTCTCACGTAAATGATTGACAGGTCTCGCTGAAGCGTCTGGTCCGCACATTGGTCTGCTCCAGCTGAGGGGGCAGGTCCTGTGGTCAGCTCTTATTTTTGAGGTCTTATTGGAGAGTAAAGTGCTTGTGGGCGTGATTCTGACTTTGTGTGTGTAAACATTTGTGTGTGGGGTTTGTCCTCATCTTCCCAGCAGCAAAGAAAGGAGGCAGGCAGCTTTAATATGTGATGGCCATATTAGGCAACAGCTTCATGACTTTCAGCCACTACATCGCTCCGACTCTCACTTTCATGGTTTGCGTGTGTGTTTGTGTGTGTGTGGTTGTGTGTAGTATTTGAGCACTGCACAGATATTATTTTTACATGATGCTGCTGAACTCACAGCAAAGTTCATCACAGTTACTGTCACAGGGTTACTCAGGGCATTAATACTCTTATTCTCCTCTTTTTCTTTCTCTGGCTCTCCATCTTTGCTTCATCACTTCCTTTCTTTTATTGTTTTCCCTCCTCTGTCATTCTGTCCTTTTTCTTTCCCCCCCTCCACCTCTTTTCCTCTCTTGACCTTTTCACCTCCTTTCTTTACTTCTCTCTCCGTGTCATCCTGCAGGAGAGCTGTTCATGGCAGACAGTCGGCTTAAGGAGGCTCAGTTCTGTATAGCCGAGGCCAGTTCGCTCTTCCCCAACTCTCACTCTGTGCTGCTGCAGCGGGGCCGCCTGGCCGAGCTCCGGGGCCACCTGGACGAAGCCAAAGGCCTGTATGACGAGGCCCTGGCCATGCATCCTACAGGAGAACGGATACTGGTGCACACGGTGAGAGATAGCGGATGCTTTAGAGGCTGCAAAATTAAGTTAGAACTTATGTAACACTCTGCTCTTTCAAGTGTCACACATGCAAACATGGTGTTCAGTATCCTCTCTCACACACATGCACACAAACACATGATTGGCTACAGTGACATGTTTAAATGCTATAATTTAGTAAATTAAAAATTAAATCAAAACTGACGTAATATGCAAGCGGAACATGTGCAAACACTTATTTGATGTCTGCTAAAAACACACACACACACACACACACACACACACACACACACACATATATTAATGAAATATTTGCAGTACTTCTAGTTGACTGAGCAAAGTTATATAAAAGTGTACTTCGCGCGAGATCTTTTACATTTGGCCCTGCTGTGGATTAGCTCACACGCTCTGACTCAGACAGTGTAGGGCTGTTTAATGAAGTTAAAAGTTTTCTCAAATTCACCAAGTTAAATTACGTCACAATTAAATTGCATCAGCTGCCTTCAGCCTTCATAAACACGCCTCCCAGAGAGTAGGAAAAGGCTTTCCTCGCAACAACAACAGCAATACGTGTAGATAAAAGTACATTTCAGGGGACTTTTGTCAGTCAGACTAAACCATGTCCCACTGTGGTCACATGTTCTTATATACACAGTAGCAACATGGCAGTGTGCGCACACATTTTTAATTTGATATTTAAACAATTTTTTGAGTTATTATATAGATTTTAATCCATCTGATCAAACAACTAAAGACAGCACTCAAGACACAGATGAATTTGAGCTCTTAGCACTTTTATATTCAGTTACTGTATTAAACTATAACCTATACACTGTATTAACAAAAGTAATCACTCACCCATCCAAATCATTGAATTCTTGTTTTCCAGTCACATCCACTGGCTGACCTCATCAATGTGCTTCTGGGAGAACGGTCAAAAACTTCAATAAAGCCTTCCCAGATTAAGCTGTTATATCACATTTCGACATCATTTTAAACTCTATAGATTATGAATGTGACGACACTCAAGCTCATATGTGTGTGAATGCAGACGAGTGAATACTTTTGCCAGTATAGTGTACATAAAATGAAGCGGCTGCGGATTTACTTTAAACCTGCAAACCAGCAGGCGGCGACTGCTCTGAATGCAAAAATGAAGACAGATTCTGTTGTGGTTTCTCACAGGGTGCGATTTGCACATTGCATGAGAGCTGTCTGCCGTGCTGGATGTGGTACAATCACTGGCTGATAGAGAAGAATGTGCATTTGCCCGACTGGTTGGCAGTGGTTCTTAGAGGTTGCTGGCTCTCACCGGGTGAAATCGGATTTAAAGAAGGTGCTCCACCAAAAAAACAAAACAAAAAACCCTACAGTGATTGCTTGGTTGCTAACAGATTGCTACAGTTGGCTGCGTTTGTCTGCAAAATCTTGCAAACTACTAGGCGAGTGGTAGTACAACTTAAAAAAGTGTGGCACAAATCAGAAATGGAGAAGGTTCACTTTCAAAGTAAAAGTTTTGCTCCACAGATACAGTCATGTTTAAGGAGTTTTACTTCTTAAACACGACTGGTGAACAGTCTCCATTTCCTGTTTGTTTTGCACTTTTCACAGTTTCCTTAGAGCTCGGAGAGTAGCTGTGTTTGTAGACAAGGACTTTGCTTCCATTCAAACTACAACCACTGCATTATGTTAGCAAGCAAAGCAATAACGAGGATGTTTTCACCAACCCATGCAGGAACACACATTTCTCCCTAGTAACAGATGGTTGCCAGGAGGAACACTTTCCATCTCTATGATTATATGACTTCCTAGCGACTCCCATCAACCTGCAGCAACCACTTGCAATCATTCAAGGAATTTTCCCCTTGTGATGGGTGCTTGCCACATACTCGTGGACCTGTCTGTACATGTTCTTACTCCCAAAGTGTAACATTTTACGCTAGGTGACAAATCGTCGATATGTTACGCTTCCGGGCACCCAACATGTCCCTATATTACGAGATCGGAAAAATGAGGAAACATGAGAACCGTTTGGAATGAATCTACACATGCTTGTTCATTTTACTTAAATCGCTTTGTAAAACACTATCTAACGTCATTAAAGTTCTGGTTAACGTTAGGGATAAGGTTAGGGTCAGGGCTGGAATACATGGCTGGAACGAGTCATTCTACTGGATTTCATCCATAACCAGGCGTGTAGCATAAGAACGCAGAAGGTTTTGCGTTCGCCTCTGGAGTGACAACGGGCTGGTCTGTATGACTGGCTTTTTCTTTTCATTTGAGCTTAAATAGTTGATTGTCACACGTCAGAAATGGTGGAAGAGTAACGTCACGTGGTTAGAGGTTATGCGTCTGCAAAACCTAAGTAGGAATCTGTGTGAAAGCAGCCCTCAGCTTCATCTATGACCTCAGAACACTTTTCTGACGAGTTTATGGTCTCATAGGCACAGCTTGAAGCTTCACAGCAGGACTTTGCAAACCAGTGGGTGATGTTGCCTTTATCATAAAGGCTATAATTGTAACAGATGCTTATTAGCTGCTAATATTAGCAGTGGTAGCTTCTTTGCTCTTTTAGAAGCAAAACAAATCCCAAATGTTTCAAACGGCTGTAGATTATATTAGCCTCAGAAACTTAGTTGTAACATTTTTTAAAGTTTGCCATGTGCTTCTAATAGTACTTACACTGTTATAAGTATAGTACACTTATACTGCCTCATACTGTTCATACTGTAATCGTGTAGTCTTTCTCTCCTCTGTGGCGTGCCGTACTGTGTCATTGTCAGAACTCTGAGTGGTTCAGTCCTGTTTATCGCGGTGCGTTGCTGTCGTCCTCTGAGACGTGCCAATTTGTTGCAGGCAAACCTGAAATTTCAGAAAATAGAAGCAAACAAATTTCGCTCCATCACCAGCAAATGAAAAATAGCGCTTAAAGACTCACTCTCTCTTTCCTGATCACTCCCCCACATTTCTTTCATCCCAGCAGATCCTCTTTCTCTCTCACTGCCGCACTGTAAAGATCCTCTCTCGCCCACTTCCACCCACTCCCTCGCTTCTCTCTCGCTCTCTCAGTCTGTCTTCCAGATGATCCACAGGATTAACCACAGCTCTTCTGACCTTTGAACTGACTCTGTTGTCACAGTGAACGAACCAGAGAGGGATATTCCTCAAATCCAAGACGCAGCACTCGACACTCACACACACACACTCACACACAATGACTGCGGTCTCCATAGTGACCGGAGATGTGCTGGCTGATATCACTTTAGCCTTCTTGTGACCACATAAGGCTAGTGCTTTTGCTCCTACAGCGCACTTTTGGATGCATGTGCGTGTGTCTGTGTGCGTAGAAGTGCAGTCCCACTGGGTTAGACAGAGGTACGCTTCTCTTCCATATTTGGCCTGTGGGAGAACCAATCCCAGGGGGTGAGAAGTTGAAACAAAGCCAGCTGGCAGCGTCCGTCTCTGGGTCTCTTACAGGACAGATGTGTTCTCAGTCTGAGTGTTTGAGTACGTGTACGCATGTGCATGTGTTTAGGCATGACTGTGTTTGTGTATGCCAGCCTTCCTCCACGGATTTGGAGCACATGTGGACTACTTGGGCTTGCTTTTTTTAAGTAAACTATATGTGTACACTTGGACAGAGGCACACATTGTAATAGGCACAAATTGACCCAAATACAAAAATTCTGCTTGTAGAACACTAAAGTTTATGGACTATACTATGTTAGGCATGCTAATGGAGGCTTGCAGTAAATAACTGCATTCTTGCATTGTTATGGAGCCTGTGGGACAATGTGTGGGACATTTTATTTGGAGCTTCGCCCATATTTGTGACTTGCATCAGCCGGCCAGAAATGAGCCTACAGTTACTCTGTGGTGCTGTGCGGCTCTGCCTTCATCCATTTATTTTTACACAGTATCTGCTGTGGACATTTTGTGTGCCAGTGGCCCATTTTCTGCTGTGCCTTAAGGGGAATTCTTAAGATATTCTTGGTAGATATTCTTACACCTCAGTTATTATTCTGCAAAAGTACCTACTGTACTTTCCATGAATGTCCTTAAGATGTTTTCATGGTAACTATACTTTATAGATGTCACCTTTCTGTGGCTCAACAGTTAATGTGATCTGATATTTATTGTGGAAATGCAATTTCATTAGGAGCCTGTTTACAAGTGGTTTCCGTGGGCTTATCATGCGTGCCCAGTGTGTACTGCACTGTCTACATTGCTTTCACTAGAAGATCGGGGGCCTTTCTTAAAGTCATTTAAGCTGCATATAAACTGTAAAAGATAGGTTGCTTCCAGATTTAGGAGTGAAGCCAGTGCATAACTACCTTAAACGTGTAATGTTTCTTACATCCAGTTGGGGGAGACTCATCGGATTGCAAGAAGCAGTGTATGTTTAGAAGTCAACAGAAAAACGGCTGCTGACTCGATCTATCCTCTCAGTAAATGCTTCCTTGCTAGTTTCACGTCTTATTTAAAACAACATGATGTTAATTTTGTAAGCTATAGTCTGTTTTTTAAGTTAAAAAGTGTGACAAAGCTCAGAAGCTAGTGTCACCATTCAGCAGTCTTCTTGAAATGCTGCAGGCGTTGTCTGAATAATTTTCATTTCAAAAGTCACTGACATTAAACTGTTAGCTTCAATACAGTTCAGTTTAGTTCAGTTTTATAGATATAAAGCCAAATCACAACAACAGTTGCCCCAAGGGCCTTTACATTTTAAGGTAAAGACCCTACAATAATACAGGGAAAATAATCAGACGACCCTCTGTGAGCGAGCACTTTGGAGACAATGGGAAGGAAAAGCTTTTTTTAAAAAGGAAGAAACCTCCAGCAGAACCAGGAGCAGAGAAAGGTCTAAGTCTCCTAACAGCCTGTGAAGTTTCCACGGTGGGTTCTTGTCCTGCCTAATTGAATCCTACAGCAAGGCTTTGTGAGTCTGATGTTCCATTTGAAATCACATTTCCTCTTCAAGGAATACATTTGTGAAAAAAAGTTATACT